TTTGCTCATTAAAACATCATGAATTCGTTGATAAAAATGACAGCGAATGAAACCAGTTTATTTTATTTTATTGTAATACACCAAAATCATGTTTTAACAAACAAAATACATCAAACAACATCGCACACATACACATACACACACATACACACATACACCTACACATATATAAGCACATACACAAACGATTTAGGATTGTTGTATTGTTGTTTTCGATCTTTTAAAAGTGGTGAATCATATTTTCAGAAAATGATTCCATCTTTGTCACCGATTCGATTTTATCCTATCTTTCATACTTTCTAAGTAATTACACACGAATCTTTGACATTTTATAAATTTGACCTTTATAAAACTTTTCCCTTTTTCTTTCTTTTTTTTTTCGCAAATCCCAATCATTTTTGGACAGTATATTAAAGTTTTCTTTTTTTTTTGTGATATTAAGATTCATTAATGACAAGAAACAATGAAATGGAGAAAATAAGAGATAAAAAGCTGATTTTTCATAATCCTAACCAGTTCTTTTAAAATATCTCGTTGGTTGTTCGATTACATTTTTCCGAATGTACGCTCTGTTTGCTATCTTAAAAATAAAACATTAAAAAAAAAGGAAAAATTGAAAAATATTGAAATCGAAATTTTCAAAAATCTTTGACTTCCCAAAAATATCTAACTTTTATCTTCTCACCTAAAGCATTCATTCTCAACAAAATCTAAAACTTTTTCATTTCTATTTATCACTAATATTTATTGGAAAAAAAAAAAAAAAAATAGAAGGAATTTAGAGTAGAATTAAGAAGGATATTTTTCATTAAGAATACACAAAATTCCTCTACTCCATTTAGATAAACTCTTGTAAAATTCAACAATATGACAGAAAATATCATCTTACTGGTATCATAACTTTGACAGAAACGATGAAAAGCAGCTGTATTAGGTATTAGTATACACCAAAAATGATTGGAATGGTTCAATTTCATTCCTTAAACACAACCTTTCTACTCCTCATTGTTTTATTCTAATTTTCTTATCTTATTAAATCAGTGACACTTCATTTGTAAATCATTTTAATTTTCATCAGACAAATAAATAGTTGCATGTGCTTGAGCAATTAATAATCAATTATCAATTATCACTACCTTATTTTTGAAATTAATCAATTATTTTGAAATCTTTTCATATTTAAGGTATCACAATAGTTGATTATAATTATTATAATATAGTTATTTAGACTGAAATACAGAAAAATTGCAGTATTAATGGGAATATACATTACTTGTAGATCACAAAAAATATCGCTACCAAAAAGTTCTTGCAATTAACCGATCCGATTCATCTAATAGTAACATTGATGACATTGCTACGAACTATAAGCAATTATTTGACCTTATTTATAATCTAAAATGAGGTTTGATTTAATTTCTTTTTTTCATATTTCAGTTTTTTTAAATTTAATTTCGGAATTTGTTAAACTTGAAATAAGTTGAAGGTTGCTTTTTATCTTGCACGCTTACTTATTACTGTTAGTTTGCGAAAAATTAATGAGATAAAGTAAAGATTCTGTAAATAGGAGCTTTAATTAATTAGTTTAATTGCATTCTAAATTACCGTTTACTTTGAAACACTATGAAATTTTAATGAATATTTACGAGAGAAAAATGTATGTAACTAATAATAATTATTAAATTACACATGTTCAAAAAAAGAAGAAATTTTCAAATAATTTTGTAAGAGAAACTATTGATTTTATCAATTTGATTTTATCGATAGTTTTTCTTATGATACTGATAAAAGCTTTTATCAATGATTTTTTTTTGTCTTGTTTTATTACTTGTGCTTAAAATTCAATCTATTACGAAAAGTGCATTGATAGACGACAATTTAATATCAAAATGATGCATCACTTTGATATTTGATATCTCTTCTTGTCACTTATTCATCATGTATCTCCCGTAAACTGATAAAATAATCTCAAATACCATACCTTATTAATAGTACAGAACCGGAACGTAACTTTAACTGGACAAATGAAATACAGATATCTCAGTATCACCAAGATGCATCGTTAATTTCAGAAAAAACAACGATTGACAGGAAAAAACGAGATTCCAGGTCAGATTATCCATAACAGTCAGGCAATGTGGAATGTTCTAATGCCTTCGATCAAGTCAATAGATCGATGTATCAACATAAGGTAAGATGTTCAAATGTTTCATTACGATTCATTTGATAAAGAGATAATTTTAAGTTTACTTTTGATAAAAAATACTAAGTGGAGAATTTATATTTAAATTTGCATTTGTATTTGAACTTTTTTCACCTGGATTTCTTTTTTTTATATTTGAATTTGTATGATTGACGAAGGTTTACTAATTCAAGCACTAATCAAAATCACTTTAAAAGATCAATCTTTATATTCGTTTTGTTGCTTTTTTCTTTTTTTTTTTATTTTATAAATCAAATTCAAAAAGTGCGCAAAAATTCTACTACAACGTCAGTATGACATTATGATCCAACTATGCAACAATTTCCTACTTTCAATCATATCTTTAATTTAAGGATGAAGTGAAAATAAATTTATTCTTGCATATATAAAATGATTTCATGTATTTATTTTTTGTTAATGAATTCATGGTTGTTAATAATGGAAATTTGATACAAGTTTGGAAAGTTCATTTTCGAAACGTCGCAAAGAATAGCAATTTATAACATGTTTTAGTATGTCACACATGTCTTGATTGAATGACGTCAACATTTCAGTTTATCTCAGAAAGTAAAATACCTGTATGATTTGGAAACTGAAATTATGTCCAATATTTCTTACAACTATTGTCGCACTCCGTGCAATCGAGATATTTAATTTGAATTGATGCTAATAATTTTTAAAATTCAGTAAAAGGGAAATATTGATTTTTTAAAAAAAGGAAAAAACATTAAGTTAGGAACAATAGAAACAATGATAATTTTATCAAAAATATCAAATCTAAAAAAATTTCGACTAAAGCTAGACAAATAACTCGGAAAGATAAGTTAAAGGAAGTATTTCACGACTATTCTATCATCCAAAACTATTACCTAAAATTGAATATTATGATGTGACGATGTTAAATTTTCTTTTCTTTTTATTTTTTTTATAATAATAAAGGTAAAATTGACGGACTTATCGATCGGTTTATTAACTTCACACAAGAAAAAATCTTGCAGTTCGTTATCATATGAACCCTTTGAGAATTTATCGCTCATAGATTCATGCAACTCTCAATCATATTTTCATCCTGCTGATACTTTAGGACTTCAAATTAGGATTGATTTCATTATATTAAGATGATATTATAATGTAATTACTATTGAAATGATAACTTAAAAAAGCGTAAAATTCATTTGATTTATGTAATTTGATAACATTAAAATAAGAAAATTTTTAATATTTACAAACCAATCATATATTTTGTCTGTTCGTTTCAAAATGTTTCTTCGAAACAAATAACATCCCAAAATGTCATAGTTATTACAATTATATTTTTCAGTGCATCAATAAAACTTCCTTAAAGTGTAGATTTTCAAAGAGAATTGTATCTTACCATGGAAATATCGGAAATTAAAATACAGATAATGTTTAGGAATTTTACAACTTTTGCAGGATTATAATGGGAAAAACTTATCCCATTAATTTTAAATTTATGCAAAATGAAATTAACAAAATTTCAAATGCAAGCAGTCAACTGCATGAATAATTGTGCATTTTCAAACTGCATGTAATAGTTTTGATCGAATTGGTGTAACAAAATATACGACAGCGATCAGTGTGAGAACGACCACCGCAGAAATTGTAATTAGATGAGAAACATCATGGGTGGTCCAATGTTGATCGATGCAAAATATTATGAGAAAATATACTTCCAACACTATACAACAATATTTCGATAACGTTTACTGCCTCAATGCTACACTACTCGACCACCCACGACGTTTTCGAATAATTTTGTGGCAAGAAGATGCATAGCTTCGTGTGATCTTCTGAACTTCACTGGTGGTATGTTATATTGTTAGTTATGAATGGATAGGACATTGTTGCTGACTATAAGGTTTAACCCCTTTTTTTTGTTAGTCCATAATTTACAAGGACATGCT